TGAAGCCATCTTGCTAATGTAGATTTCTTTATTTTCCAATATGTATATTGGATTAGTTGGCCTTTAGAGCTCAAGTGGGTAGATTCTTTTTTTTTTTAATTTTTTTTAATTTTCAGCCTGGACATAGTGTAAATAACCTTTCACGCCAGTCACCTAAAGCAGAGAGATGCTCCAAACAACACCCCCCGACTTGAGGACAACCTCTTTTTATTGATCCTTTTCTTATTTTCTTTTATATAGATAAGATGTTTTTATTTGATTTGTAGGTATAATCAGAGTTTTATGTCCCTATGATATTAAATCATTTGAAAAATATTTTGAAATTCTATTTTATTATTTAGAATAAATTAAGATATATTGTTGATATTTAATCCATAATTTTTAATTTGATCTGATCCAATATTTGAGTTTTAGGTTTTAACCGGGTTATATATATTAATTTTTTTTAAATTAAAATAATATTATTTTAATAAAAAATAATAACAAATAAATTACAATTGAATTTTTGACCGAGTTATACCAAATTATTTTTTTTAACCCATCTTGATTTTAGTCCCATAATAATTGAATCCTAAATTAATTCATTAGACTAAACTAAATTTTAAAAATATGGTTTAATAATTAAAATTTTTCACCAAGAGTGGTAACACAACTTTTTTCTCGTTGAAAGTTTTATTTTTATGTATAGGTTTTTAATAAAAATAATCTGATTTAAAAAACCTTGGTTCTGCAAGATTAGAGAACTATATTTGTTGCCCATGAAAGAATTAATTAGTTGTTTCCTAAAATATTGAAATGTTATGATTCATCAACCTTACAAGGGCGTTGTATCTATTTTCTTGTAAGAAATTGCAAAGAAAACATTTTATTTTGTATCAATTTGATATTAATAAAAATACCGCCTTCTTGTTGTTGTTTTTTTTTTTTAAAAAAAAGAAGGATGCAAATAGAAAAAAGGTTTTGAGCAAACTAACGTGGCTGCTTTTTACAAAAATATATGAATAAATTCAATTTCCCCCCTTTACTGGGAACTGAACTTTTAACCTCTGGGTGGATCCGCTGACGACAAAACATGTCAATAGCTCTCCTATTGATTGCATGATAATATTATTGGTAATTTTATTTTATTCTATTTAAGTTATTTTTTCTTCTGGAGCAATGTGTAACTCTAAAAAAGACACAAGACAACTAATATTATCGAATATATTTTTATATAGATTTGCAGGAGGTAAATCTTTTATAGATCATGATCCTGGAGACCGGCCCGGTCGTGGAAAAGATTTCCTTCTTCCTTTGAGTTTGAATACGAGAACCAGCATTCATATAATTTTACTATCTCAAAATGTATTAGATGGTTGTGAAAGTGCTTTTAAAATCATTTACAGCTACAACTTGTTCTTAATTAATTAACGCACAAAACTATTCAAAAATACTATTTATTGTTGAAAAAAATTGAATGTTTAAATAAATTAGCATCTCTAACATTAAAACCGCTGAACTTGAAAATTAATTGGTGTTTTGCTTGATTATTATCCACAAGTTTAAGATAAAAATTTGAACTCCAACGAGAGCGAAGCATACTAATTAATACAATTTTACATATATGTCCGTGACCTGTTGCTCAGATTCAAATGATGGTGATTAATTGAAAAATATGAAAGCAAAATGTGCTAAACTCGTCATATGCACTTTATATTTTCATTTGCTCGTTAAGAAGCCCTTCTATTATTAATTCAATCAATTAAACATATTTATTTTTTATTCTTAGTTAATTGAGTATAATTTGCTTACTTTTTAAAGAAAAAAAAACTGCTTGAAAAAATAGTGAAATGATCATGATAATAATAATAATAATAAAATTAAAAGAAAGTTGATAATAATTAATCCTGCAGTGAAAAGCAGTGCTTAATTAGTTGATATGAATATTTGTTTTTGTAAAATTGTACTGATTGACTCGAATTGAAAATACATGTGCTTAATAATAGAGTGTTTTTTTTTTAATTGATGATTTATTGAGAATGCAAGGTGAAAATAAATAGGAGTTAAAGTGGGCCTACGAAGACCAATGTTTTATTAGTATCAGCTGACCGTGGCTTCTTGTGGCCCGGGATTACTGAACTTAGGCAGCACTGCTTCTGTGCTGGATACATGAAAACTCAAGCCCATCAAGCTTAGAATGTAAGGGCCTAGAACCCAGGCCCCTTTTCAGGCGCTAACCAGCTGAGGCCCATCAATCTTTTTTCATACGATTGAGGTAGCGGACAGTTTTCTTTGATTGATTCGGCCTTCCTCTTATGCTAACCATAGGAACACATGTTATATTGGTTAGAATCTTGATTTAAAATTATAATTAACAATAACCTGTTTAATAATTAACAAGATTCAGTGCTTGCTTTGCCCGTGTGCTGGACTATTGTCTTTGCACAATAAACAAACGTGTTTTTTTTTTTATATATAAAAAACACGATACTTCATTAAGTTAAATAAACTGAATTTAATTTAATTATAAAAAAATAAATAATTTTTTTAAAGTCACTAGGATAATCTGCTAGATGTTTTCTTAAAAAAAAAAGCAAATGACCTTAATTCACAACTTATTAGACATGGAAAAATAAAATTGGATAAAAAATAATATAAAAACCAATTCTGATTAACTCAAGTTAGTATGATAAATTATTAATTTTGGTAACCAAGGTGAAGCAAACATGGAATATCTCGTCAAACTCGCGGTCCAGATCATAAAAATAAAATAATCTAATAAAAAAAATAAAAAAATTATAAAACCTTTTCATAGAAATCATGCTAACTTTTCAAACTTATAATCTGGATCATTAGATGTGAAGCATTATATTTGAAAATAATTTATAAAACTATAAATTGTATATTTGTTGAATATTTTTTGAATAATAACATTTATAGATTTTTAGTTTAAAATTTTAAAATTTCTAATATTGCAAATAATACAATTACTGAGCCGAGTGATGTGATTTTATTTGAAAATATTTATTCAATAATTTTTTTTTCCAAACCTACTAATAAAAGTTATTCTTCTAAAATAAACATTGTTATTAATCATGCTTTCAATGAAACTAAAAAGAATAAAAAAAAATAGATGAGCAAAAGATTTTGATGTTAATTTTTACAATTTTTTACTTGAAAATGACCCTAAAATATATTATCAAACTATGACATCTATTGAAACTCTTTTTTGAAAAGAAATGATAAGAGATAAAATGAATTTTTGAATTTCTAAAAAAATCTTGGTTTTTAACTGATTTTCCATAAGATTGCAAGATAATAGATTATAAAAGGGGTGTTTAGAAAGAAATTGAAAACTAATGAATCTATAGAGAAATTTAAAGCTAGGTTTGTTGATAAGAGGTTTAAACAAGAAGGAATAATTTTTTTTTTGACATATATGCATTGATTTCTTATTTTTTAAAACATATATGCACTTATTTCTAAAATCACTATATCTCTTTAGCTTTTTTTCCACAGATTAGAAATTAATCAAATGGATGTTAAAATGCTATTTTTAAATGGTGATTAAGAAGAAAAAAATTGTATGGATTAATTGGAAGGTTTTGCTGTGCCTAGTCAAGAAAAATAAAATAAAATAATATATATACACACACTTTATTAATTCAAGAGAACAAAAGGGGTGATTGAGATATTTGAGGAATTTTTGTTGCATTTAAAAATTCTAATGAATTATTGTATTTTGAAAGAGAAGTATATTACATACAAAATTAATCTTGTGCAAAGAGAGTATTTTCTCTCTAAATAGTGTTATTGCTAACGATGCCAATTTCTTCTGAGCCCTTACTTTTTTACATATGTATTTTTATTTATAATTATTTTTATTATTTTTTTAGTTTCTGATTTAATATTAAAAAAGAAAAAAAATCTTTATTATTTTTATTTTTTATTTATTTCCTAACAACAATTGGTCTCATATTGCTTTTTGTGACATCCACGTGCCAGCTACCTTACAAAATAAAAAAATAAAAAAATCTCATTTGGTTTCTTCACCAGATCAATTATTATCTTTAGCAAGCCGCATCATCAAAATTAACAGGATATTCATATGCCAGTTGTCTACACTCTCTATACAAGGACAAGCCATATACTTCAATAATTATCTACTTTCACTCTTAAGGACAGGAATCATATCGTGCAAGATAATGAGTCTCTGGTCGTCAAAATGCAGCACTGTCATGTTGCAGCAATTTCTCGTTTGGGTGGTGATGGTGGCAATGTGGGGTAGTGCAAGTTACTCAAAATGCGATTTTGAGGCAATCTTCAACTTTGGCGACTCAAATTCGGACACTGGTGGGTTTTGGGCAGCGTTTCCGGCACAGTCCGGTCCTTTCGGCATGACTTACTTCAAGAGACCGGCTGGTCGGGCTTCCGACGGGAGGCTCATGGTTGATTTCCTAGGTAACCTCTCTTCTATCATTTTAGGCCTTGTTTGTTTTATCTTATCATATCCTTGATATCTTGGAAAGACAATTTGAATACAAATCACAAGGTAGACAAACAATACCCATGTATGGTTGCCGCTTAGGACTAGTTTAGTTGATTGTCTCAAACAATTTGAAATCAGAGCTCATTCATTTTGAGATGAAAAAGAACAAGTTAGAAGAAGGATTGTTTCTGTTGCGGAATCCAGCAGCCCAAAGATTTTTTACTTGTTTATCCTTCTTTGAAGGAGCCTTCAAGTTCAAGGCTACAGTCGCTTGCGCGGAACTGGAATTTTAAAAGTTGAGGTATCAATGTTTGGAAAATAAAAATTAAGACGAGTATTGAAATAACGTAATAAATTAAAAATTATAGAGATAATACATAATTTCTTGAAAAGATACATATTTCTTACGAGATAAGTCTTAATTTTAAGGGAATAATAAAGAAATCTCAAAATGTTTTAGAACTAAAATGTAAAGTTTCTCAAATCTTGGGAGTGCCATGGCACCCTTAGCTCTGATTCCTAGCTCCGCTCCAGACAGAACCTGTTTGCACGATGATCTTTATTTGGCAATTTCTTACCACAAGACAAAACAACAACGTGGAAGAATTTTGGATTCCTCCAGCTGCCGACAATAGCAGCCACCAATAATATACCGACGGCGAGATGATTTCGCCTTTCCGTTTCTTTTCCTTGGGACCTTCGGCCCATGGTATATGGCTCTAGATCTCCGGGTAACACGCGCAAAACCAGAATGAGCTTTATACGTATGTTAATTTTTTATCTTGAATAAATCATGAATTATTCCAGGACAGCATTCAAAATCTCATCAAAAACTTACAGCAGCTTGCCAAACAAAGGCTAATAGAAAAAAGAACAGAGTGATTACTGGCATAACATCTACGATTGGATTCAAAAAAGCGTAGGCTTCAGGCAATTTTGTGAAGAAAAAACTGCTCGAATAAAGGGCAAAACCAGAATGAGCTTTATACGTATGTTACTGTATTATTATTTTTAAGTTAAATTAAATTAAATGATTGTTCTGAAATGAAACTGGAAGATATAATTATCAATTCAATAGCTATGTGATGATACATAATCATATTATTAAAAACTCGGTGCATTACGTCGTGAAATGACTTTCGATATTTCACTTGACAGCACAAGCTCTGGGATTGCCATTTCTGAGCCCGTATCTGCAATCAATTGGATCTGATTATAGACACGGAGCCAACTATGCAACACTGGCATCTACTGTACTGTTGCCTAACACTTCCCTATTTGTTACTGGGATCAGCCCTTTTTCTCTGGCTATTCAGATCAACCAAATGAAGGAATTCAAGGCTAAGGTTCATGAATTCCACTCCGCTCGTAAACAAGGTGTGTATAGCGCACTCACCATAATTCAAGCTTCACAGTTGTGTTCTAGACTAGATTACGAAACTAATTTTGGCATCTTGTCTTGTAGGATCAACACCACTCCCATCACCGGACATTTTTGGAAAATCTCTCTACACGTTCTATATTGGCCAGAATGATTTTACTTCAAATTTAGCTGCTATTGGTATAGGTGGAGTGAAGCAATATCTCCCTCAAGTGGCTGCACAAATTGCCGGTAGTATCAAGGTTAGCTCTTCTGCAACAACGAACAAGCATGATGGCCACTAGGCCCAATAAACAACATAGCCTCAAGTAGCTCTTCTGCAAACATGGCCTATTCTCATGTTAATTTATATAATCTTGAAGGAGCTATACGCATTGGGAGGGCGTGCATTTCTGGTTCTCAATCTTGCACCGATAGGTTGTTATCCTGCGTTCTTGGTACAGCTTCATCATAACACCTCGGACATCGATGCCTTCGGTTGTTTGATAACTTACAATAACGCAGTGGTGGACTATAATAACATGTTGAAAAAGGCTCTAAGCCAAACTAGAATGGAACTCCCAAAAGCTTCCCTTATATATGTGGACATCCATGCTATTCTACTGGAGCTCTTTCAGCATCCCGGTTCTCATGGTATTTAACATACCTGGAAATATATTAATAAATCACTTGTTTGTTTAAACATCTGATAAGAGTTGTTTGTTTTGGAGTAGGGCTCAATTATGGTACCAAAGCATGCTGTGGCCATGGGGGAGGCCAGTATAATTTTGATCCTAAAGCTTACTGTGGAAATACCAGAGTGATTAATGGAAGCACTGTAACAGCATCAGCATGTGGTGATCCATACAAGTATGTTAGCTGGGATGGAATACATGCCACAGAAGCAGCAAACAAGCTTGCTACAATAGCTATTCTGAATGGGTCCTATTTTGATCCTCCTTTTCTTCTTCATCATCTCTGTGACCTCCAACCTATTAATTGATGTTTTCTCTTTAATTTTAGGAGCTAATAAATAATTAATTCATGATGTTAGCCAGGCTAACGATCCCCTAAACTTTGATTTATTATGTTTAACTGGATCCTTAAAGTTCAAGGTCGTACCCGTCCTCCATGATTCAGTTGTCGATGATGAAGCGAGAGTTGTGATGGGAAAAAGATAGAAATACATTATAATGTTATAATATGTACATATCATATAGATTTTTTGATTAATTGAAAATTATATGTACGAGATTTATATATAAGATTTGTGCGGTTTAAATTATATGTACCTACCATCCTTATCAATCATGTTTTGAACCATGTGCCCAATGGCAATCGAAAATAAATTTCAGTTTCAAGCATCGATGCCTCAACTCATCACAAATTACCAACAGTTCTTCTATAACCAATTGAATAATAATAATAAAAACGAAGGTATCATCTCTAGAAAATTAAGAGTGAGAAATGTGCAAAGAAACTGAAGTGTAGTCAGGGGACATAATCTTGCTCAAGGGTTGGCTGGGTTCTTACCATTGATGATGACGGTATTTTACTTCTTCCAACCGAAGTTGTATCAAGGGCCACCCCATTTTCAGACTCTGCCTCCATTTCTCTGAATCTCCCACTCCTCACTAGTTTAAAAGTGGTGAATCCAATCACACCCAGCAAAACAAACGCAAGAATAGCAGCTCCAAATCCACTCACCCACCATATCCAAACTCTGTTATCCTTATCTACTTCAGAGTTCTTAACAGCAACTGAAAAATGACCATCACCTTGTGTCATGCAAGTATTTTCGTTAGTTATGTTCCTAAAGTGGACCAATCCATCTGGACCAAGCTCGACGCATTTTAATATCTTAGGATCACCTTTTGTTATTAGGTTAGGAAACTTGATCGAAATGGGGTCACCCAGAACGTTAAACTTGAGTGCCTCATTACCCAATGCACTTAAATTGGAAGCATCATAAGCCATGAAGCCAACAACAGGAGCAACTAATGAATAATCAGGCACCCTGTAATAAAGAGTAGACCAATTTCCCAAGTTTTGATATACTAAAGACAGTCTCTTCACAAATGGGAATGGAATAATCCTTGGCGGGATAAAAAAAGAAGTGAAATTGGCTCCTCTTTCCCAGAAATGAGCACTTCTTAGCCTAACAACCGAGACTTCCATTCCAGAGAAATTAGCAGGGAGAGGAACTTTTAATGAAGTGCCTGTACGTTTCTTTGCTTGTGCCTTCATTGCGTATTGGTGAATCAACGCATCTAAAGACTCAGGGTCATAGCTTGTTAAGCCATGAACAGGTGAAATTAACAACAAGAACAGAGGAAAGATGTGCCAGCTTCTGTTGCACCCCATCAAGATCGAGTCCCTAAGCCTCCTGATTTACATGTTGAATCCCCCCTGATAAATCATCAATTAATGAATGCTATAATAATAATAATAAATAAAAAAACCACCCCTTGCGCCAATATTATATATACAGTGCAATAGGAACCCAGAGAAATATGTTAAACAAAGGCAATGTGTGTATTGAAAAGCTAAACCAAATCACCTTAATTTAACAAAGGAAAGTGGCTTCACAATGAGATCAGAAACTCCGAATTCTTCAATGGATTGCCGTGATATCTAGGATGAGATTAGGAGCCTGGAGAAAAAGCAGCTGTGTTATGAGGGGGGATGACAGGTTAGACTGGCACCACCAGAGAGAAAGGGTCAATTGGATTGGTTGATTAGAAATAAAAAGGTTTAGTTATGGCAAGCAAACCAACGAGGTGTTAGGGTGGATTAGCCCCACAAGAGAGGATGGAATCTGGTACACGTCTAAAAATAGATGATTGTTGTTTATAGGCGAAGTTATTTTTGAAGCTATGAAATATGGTCACTTACAGACCCACAACCTATTTCTACGCAATCCATTGCGATACTTATCATATGATTTTTTTTAATGATACATTTCATGGGCGCAGTCTTAGGCTCTTAGTTATTTTCACTGTCATTTTGCAACTTTGAAATTGAAATAATGCAGGTTTAGACGGGAAACACCATTGATGAATGTTACTTCATAAAATCCAAGGTGCTTAAAAATAAAATTTATGTGGTTGTATAATAAATTAATCATTTCTTTTTTATTTAGATGAAAAATTGCTAGTTTTTAGTCTTGTGTCGTCTATTTCTTTTTCTGTCCTTGTTTGTGTAGATTTCTTCTCTGTTTATATTGTTTGAGCTCATCTCAAGACAAAATTTTATTTTATATTCTTATTGAATTATGATCATTTTATATTTTCCCCCCCATCTCAACATGATTCCCTGTTAATTTTTCCAAGAGCTTGTTCTCTATTTATTTCTTCCCCATTTAATTTCATCTCCCATTATATATTTTAGCTTTTGGTCATCTCAATCCCCTTATTCTTCTTTTCCTCTCAATTTGCACCTTAATTTTTTTTTTTTTTGTGTGTGTAGGATTTCTATTTTATCACAAAAATAAATACATAAAAAAATAACAAAAGTTATGAAATGAAAAAAAATGATTGAATTTTCAGGCATGATTAAAGACTAAAAAATGAATTCATAAATATTAAAATCGTAGTTATTGATAACTAGAATTTGATCACACGAGAGTTCTCTTTCTTTTCTTTTTTTTAACGATTTTCTTTTTTTAGTAACAACCAAGGATTAAAATGCAAAATAATAAAGCTTCATGACTAAAATATAAAAGTTAAAAATAGCATTTACCAAATATGCAAAAGATAAAAATTGAGGGACCAAATTAAAGTTCCTCATGCCTTTTGAACAATGTAAATGAAAAATGCTCATTTTTGTCATTATTATTTCAATTTATGTTTTACAAATAACCTAAAATATAATACCAGGTTAGGGGTACACGAGAGCATGATAATAAAAAATAATTCTAACACATAAAATCAAATCATGTTAACGTAACTTGCAAGTATGGATTTTTTTTTTAAAGTTTAGTGATTAAAGTGTAATAAGGAAACAATTAAGGACTTCGAATAAAAAACTAAGGAGTACTATAATATATGAACAATTAAGGACCCGTTTGTGAATAAAAAGATTTCCTTCTTGACAGAAAAAAAAAGCAATGGCATTGGTATTTCATTTTTCTTTTTGGTGATAATCTTTGTATTGTTTATTGACTTATAAAACTTCTCCCTTCTACGAAGTGCGACCCTCACACAATAAAACCAGCCATCCATGTGGGAGAGCGCGCGCGCCATAAACGTGGATTTTCAGATAGGAAATCGACCAATCAAAACGCACACCAAATCCAGGTGTTCTCATCTAATTCAATGACCGAAACACAGCACAAAAATATCATCACCGGATAAATATACAATTAAACGAAGAACAGAACGGATAGAAAAATAAAGTAAAACAAACACAGAGCAAAGTCGCAAAGCAGAGGATAGGAAGCAAGAGCGCCACTCATCGAAAATCCAAATGGCATCGACGGTGATTGCGGCGGCGGCATCTTCCTCCATGGCGGCCACTGCCATCAGAGCCACCCGCTGCTATGCCTTGCCTTGCCTCCCTCCTCGCTCCTCTTCATCTTCCCAATCCTTTCCCATCAAACAAGTCTCACTCACAGCCACAGGTATATCATTATTCTTTACTCAAGTTGAATGCATGAATACACACAAGGAAGACAAAGCAAAGCAAAGAAAATCCCACTTACAAACAAATGTAAAACAAACGCGGTGCATAGTAATCATATAAAGTTTTTAATGATTAATTGGTCATTTTTGGCCCGCAAGTTTCACAATTTTCTATTAGGAAATGTCTCCTGGTAGAGTTAAACTAGTACATTATTTATTTCCCATATGTCTATAAAGTGGTAGGTTTGAGCTTACTTAAGTGGGGTTTCTTTCTCATTTGCAAAACAAGTCCTGAGAGGAAGCAAATTAGCATGAATTATTAATTGTTGCTCTAAGCAGAGTATTTTGTCGTGGAATTTCCAGCTAGAGCAATGTCCCTTTTTGTTACGTAAAGGGAAACAAGTATTATATTTTGAAAGAGACTTAGTTGGTTCCCTGAAATAAAAGCATCAACAAGTTGAAATAGAAATGATTTTATCTTTGGTGGCTTTATCGATCATGGTAACTCTGGTATTGCTTTTGATTTCCCCACTGTGATTCGTGGCATTTTTTCGGAGAGTTGGGTAGAAGGAAAAATAGGAGGTTATGTGTATTGTTGATAACTAGTGAATGGTAATGGAAGCAAGGAAAAAAATATTATAGAGTGGATCTAATGCAATTTACCTTTCATAGCTGGTGTTCATCAATGCGGCTCAAATTAGGGACGGAGAGAGATAAGCACCTGGAAAACATACGTGGCTTCCCTTTATGTTTCTCTTCTTTTCTAGGATATACGGCATCTTGGATTATGTGGCTGTTAAAAATACATTTCAGGAATATGCGAGGGTTAAAAACACATTCGTAGACCATGTTTGGGTGGCATTTCAGTGTCTTGCATTGGTCCTCATCTTGACTAGTTCCTGTTTTGATTTTGAAATTATATACCAACGTTTCCTATTCCTTTCAAACAGAGTCCCGCAGGTTTGCTCCTTCCCAGACCAGAGCCTCTTCTTCAGAAGAATCCCCAGTCGATGCTAATGAGATTTTCACTGACTTGAAGGAAAAGGTAAGAAACAAGCTTGGCACGCTACTCCCATAGACAACTTGGCATTCTTCAGTGGTGTTTCTCTTTCTGAATGGTCCCATTTTGGCCTGGCTTTCCGTTCCTTTCTCGAATCCCCTTTATCGTTGGACTAAATGAATTGCATCTGTTGTCAATTCTAGTGGGATGCGGTTGAAAACAAATCCACAGTAATTATCTATGGAGGAGGGGCAGTAGTTGCTGTTTGGCTATCATCAATTCTAATTGGTGCCGTCAACTCAGTACCTTTGGTAGGTTATTCTTTTAAACAAGTATAGAGGAGACTGATGCTTTTCCAGTTCTCATAGTTACTGACTTTCCACTTTATTAGCTTCCCAAAATCTTGGAGCTGGTGGGGCTTGGATACACTGGATGGTTTGTCTACAGATATCTTCTCTTCAAGGTAAGAGATTCAGCATGCTTGATCTGTTCGTGTGGTGGGTGTATGTATGCTTTTGAATGTTTTCGTGCAATCTGCTCCTGTCCTAGTAAGCCTCAGGTCAAGCAGAAGAAATATATATTAGGCAATACAAGCTAATAACATCAATGCCAGCCCATTTTTTATTAACTATAATTTGAGTTCCATGCATTCTGCGTACTGGAAACTGCTACAGGTTGAGATAATGTTGGACAAAACCGATGATGGTCTTTAATTAGGCAGATCTTATTCGATTAAAACCCAACATTGAATGGCAATTGGTTTTTGAACCATGTCCTTCGGGGCACTTGGTAGACATTCTGCCAAAGAAATGATTATACAATGCCCCTAACCAACAAATTGCTGATAAATGAAACATTTTACTTCCTCAGTCGAGCAGAAAAGAACTAGCAACGGATATCGAATCATTGAAGAAGAAGATTGCAGGAACTGAATAAATTTGCATTGCTGGGCAGTGGATGTATCTTCTCCAAAAAAAAACAATGTATTTTGGTACCCTGCATCCCTGCTGTAAGATGTAATTGTATCTTGTATTATGTAATGTAGAATAGGCATTGTATGAGTTCTATTACTCTGTATTTCCCGGTTCATTATTGTAATAAGATTTGGCAATTTCATCTGTGCTTTAAGATGGATACTGATTATACCACTAATTACATAGTGATGATTCACAAGAGATTACGCACACCCAGGTCCATACCATAAAGCTACTTCTTTAATTAATGTGCTGTTTGTTTTTGCGTTATAGAAAGTATTTTTATGACAGGACTTGCAGAGTACTGCCAACGTAGTTAAATCAGTTTACCAGGGTGCGGTGCTAATTTTGAACGATGACAGAAACCTCACCAAAGCCAGCCAGCACGCATGCTTGACAATAAAAGAATATTATCGTCTTGATTCGGCCAAATAATATGTTTCTTGCAGAAAGACGACGAACCGTGATCAAGAAAGCGAGTTGGATTGGATGGAAATATCCTCCAGAAGAGTGGATCAAGCTTAATGTTGATGGTTGTCTTGTTTAATTTAAGCTAGGGCTGTTTTAGCCCCGACTTTCCCAAAAAAAGAAAAAGAAGCAAGCAGGATCAAGATATATAGAGGGCAATATTGTAATGTTACATCACCGTAACCAAAGACAAGCCCGAGCACACCCCTCAAGAAACCTCACGATATTATTCTTTTCTTGATAAAAGAATTACTTGCAGAGCCATCTACCCAAATCCGTGAAACACAAATCATACATTGCACTAATAATCTAAAATATTAGCAGTAATTTTAGTACAATGTAATGTAATATAATTAATTATATAATATAATATAATGGAATGTGATGATTCATTACTACTGTTTAACTACGAGGAAGATTTATTCAAATCTTTGAATTTTTATATTCTTTTATGTTAATCTCTATATTTTATTTTATCTATAAACTAATCCTCATTAAAAAAATTTTTTTGCTCTTATATTTTCTAAGAATATAATTTTAAGAAATACATAGACATAGAGATAGGAACTATGTTTCATTACAATCAATCATGAAATCATGATAATTATCTTAAATTTTTAACATCAAGCTTAATCATTTAGCTTATCAGTCGCTTATCAAGTCAAATTCAAAACTTAACATACAAAAATCATATGAAATAAATTGTTTAGCTTATACATTTTATAATTAGATTGCAATCTAAAAAATGGGCATTACAAGATATAAATCAAACTATCATGATCAATGTAGAAAACACAAAAAAAAAATCTAGAA